AATAATTAAATAAAACAAATCTCTAATATGCAAAAAAAACTTTATTTAATAATATTTATTTTATGATTTAATATAATTAGATTAAAAATTCTATTGATAATTGCCATGGTAAATTTCAAAAAGCTGCTGCACCTGCGCCTGCTCCTGCACGTGTCGGGGTGGAAAACTTTTTGCTTTATGATTTTTTTTACCTTCAATAATTAAGCGTGCATTTCCAACCTGAAGAGCTATCCTCTATCCTTATCTTTCTTCCTCTTCACACATTCTTTATCTCTTTTTCGCTTTTACATTCATTGGACAAGCACTCATTTTCAACTTTAGATTCTTCACATTCAAACAACTATTACTTTGGACCACACCAATAATGTGTTGGTTAGGATACAAGAATTTCATTTTTAAAATTACTTTAGATTCTTCACATTCAAACAACTCATTATTTTGGACCACACCAATAATGTGTTGGTTAGGATACAAGAATTTCATTTTTTAAAATAAAATTTTAAATTTATGTTTTATAAATAAAAATTAAATAAGTTTGTTTTAGAGTTTGATATAGCTTAATTTTAAATTAATTAAGCCTAAGGATGCTTTTAAATACATAAAAATTTAGTAAAAAAATTATCTTGTACCCGCATATTTCCTAAATTCATTACATTTTTTTTACTCAAATGATGATGTGTTTAATTTTTTTTTTTTTGAAAATAGGATGATGTGTTTAATTGAGTACCACACATACAATCTAATTCAAAATGTTTTTTACCTTAAACTTTTAAATTTTAATGTCTAATAAAATTCACTTGTGATTACCTCGTCTGTTTTTTTCTTAAATTTTGTTCTTAGCTAATACGGTTACATTAAAAAATTACTACTAAAATTTTAATATAATTTATTAACTATTAAAATTAAAATTAAACTTTATAATTTTTATGCAATTTTATGACTAAAAAATTTTTTAATTACTTTTTAATATGTGTCTTTAGTATATAAATTTAAAAATAATTTGTTTAACTTGTGTTCTTAGCAAGGTTTTTAAAACCGGACCGGACCGGCCGGTTGAACCGGTCGGACCGGTACCTGATGATAAAAATGGTTCGATTCACATAAAAAACCGTTTAAGGTCAAAACCGGTCAAAACCGGTCAAAAACCGGTAAAAACCAGTGAAAACCGGTGAAAACCGGTAAAACCGGTAAAACCGGTGGAACCAGAAAAACTACCGGTTCAATTTCTCATGCAATCTTCTTTCAATTTTTTCCAATTTCACCCTTCCCATTCCTTTCTTATACCCATTTTAACCTTTAACTTTAACAA